ATTTTAAGAAAGAATTTTTTAAGGCAGCGCTGTCCAACTTATCACAGCCCATGAACCATATTTTCTTCACCAAACATTTCGGGGGCCAAGACAGTTGACAAAAATCAGTTTATGTTAATTAAAAAAATATTTTATTTATACTTTAAAATATTTTTTATACTTTAAGAAACTTTAAAATATTCGTAATATATTAATGAGAACATTGTGGCCGTATTTGTTTAGCAACAATATCTTTTATGTCCACATCAATATTTGTTGTGGCAAGTCTAATTATATCTTCAAGAGTGGAATCTTTCAAACTGTTTCTATATTTTGACTTTATGTATTTCATATCGGAGTATGCACGCTCGCAGATATATGTACTTCCGAACATTGATACAATTTGAAGTCAAAAATTTTGGGATATTTCTCTTTATCTAAAAGTTTGAATATTTCTATTCCAGTTAATCCACGAGATGTAAAAAATGGGTCAGCCTTCAGGTCGCATAATTCTATTTGATATTTAAGATCAACAGAGTTGATATCAATATTAATTGAATCACAAAATAAATCAATAGATGATTTAAGATCATCAAATTGAGAAAATCTTTCATTGAATTCTGTAATTAGCATATACAATTTTGGTAGAAATACTTTAAAATTCGCTTCTATATTACATTCCTTCATTTCTTCCTAGATCTCTTTGCAAGATTCAAAATGAAATAAATTATTTTGCTCCAAATTAAACCTTAACAATTTAAATTTGTTTCAAAGTCCAGTAACATATTTATAAAGGCAAAGCACATTTTGATCTTGTCCTTGCAAGGATTTATTCAAAATATTTAAATAATTTGTAATGTCTGGTAGGAAAGCAACTGAAAAAATAAAATTTTCATCAACTAAATTTGCTGTTAAATTTTCATCGACGGCAAATTCTGTGAGAAAAAGATGAACTTCTTTTCGAACTGTAAAGAATCTCCTCAAGCACTTTCCAGCACTTAACCAACGAATGTTACTATGTAAAAGCAGATCTCCATACTCAGTTTCCAATTCATCCAAAAATGTTTTAAATTCTCGGTGTGTAAGAAAACGATTTCCGCCGCAAATTAAATTAGTAATTTTGCAATCCTTGCCCATTACGTCTTTTAGTTGTAGGGATAAACCCCACAATGCCTCCTGATGGATAATACAGTGTAACATACGACATGTTATTCCTTTTTTTTTTTTTTTTGCAAAAGTCCCGCGAGCCCAATATTTTTGCTCGTCATAGCTCTAGCATCGTCGGTTACAATAGCAGTGCACTTGTCAAATCCGCCATACTGCTCTACTGAACATTTTAATTGTTTCTAAATATCTTCATCTTTTGTTGTTCCATGTATTGATTGTAATTTTAAAAGTTCTTCTGAATAATTATAGTTTTCACTTACAGTTCTTATAAAGATAAGCATTTGACTTGTATCGGAAATGTCTGTGCTTTCATCCAATGCTACCCAAAAATAGCAGCAACTATTGTTTAGATTTTCTAATTTATTAGTGACATACATGCTAATCTCGTTTACACGTCGGCTTACAGTCTGGTGAGAAAGTAATACTGTTTGAAATTTTCTTACCATTTCTCTGTCATTAAATGCTTGAGCAATTTTTATGGCACATTTCTGAATGAATTCTCCATTCAAAAATGGCTTCTTTGCCTTTACTATTTCTAAACAAACTTCAAATGATGCAGCTACAGATACTTCTTGAAATTTTGGTTCTTCATTAAAATAAATCGTTTGATGATCCAGCTGCTTTTTCATTTTTTTCACTAGTGGTATTTTCATGTCTCACGCGTACGAATGATACTTTTTTCATGCATGGGAAGATAATGGCGCTTCAAGTTATATTCTTTACACACAGCTATGATTTGTAAACATTCCAAACACTGTGGTTTACCATTCTTGTTCAGAATAAATAAATAATCTATCTCCCAGTGATCTTGAAATTCTCGATTTTTGAGATCTATTTTTCTTTTATTAGTAGCACTCATATTCAACAATTATTTTAATTAATATATAAATATGAAATTAAGTTAACAATATTATAACACAGTCACCCCTCAACAAATTCTAGACAAGACTGCACTCACACGATTGCATGAATCAACCAAATAGCGCAGGGTAGTGTGAGCATCACGTGCCCCAACCATAGATAAACAACAACCAACCACAAATACAATATGTGGCACCAACGTTGAGCCAACCATCGTCAGACGTTAAACGGATTGCTGCTGTATTCAGCCGAGTTAAGTGAAGTTACGCAAACTAAATAGTACCCACTTTAAATTCAAATTAGATTTAAATTTTCACATAGTAAATTAATTATAATATTAATAATAATAATTTAGTAACATACATTTATTCATAGAAAAATGTACTTGCGGGCCGTCAATTGGACAGCCCTGTTTTAAGACAAAACAATGTGGTGAGATGCATTATCTAACACAATTACACCGTTAGTTTACAAATTAGGCAATAATTTAAAAAAAAAAAAAAAAAAAAAAATTTTCATATCATTCTGCATTCATTTTCTGTGAAGATCTCATTTCCTTTTTTTAGCTTTGAATATCTATTGCATGCTTCAGGAATAAATCTGTCCTCATCACCAGTATGAACAACCATAAATTACAAATCTCTTCCTGAAGGAGCAGTTAAACTTGCTGAAAGAGTGCTAAAGGGATTAGCATTTTTTAGCATTATATCCTGTCAAATTCTCTTTTTGAATGCCCAAAATTTACACACATTTCATTGGCATAGTAAATTGTCCTATCCTGTGCATGATACGTTTTTCATATCTCTTACATATCAGTGATTCCAACAATGAATATGATCAGATTCAATCACAATTAACTGCCTATTTCATTTTTTATATGCAAATTTTAAATCATTCATCCTACTGTACAAGTGGACATATTTGGGAAAAAACAGCTTCATCACTTGTAACTTTTGTCTCTTTTTGCACAGTAGGATTTTCGTTCTGTAAAAAGAAACCGTTAACTTTCCTTTGTATTGTTGCTAAACTTACATCACTAAGTCGATTGATTAAAGTTTGTGTACCGAAATTTTAGGTACACAAACCCGAATCAATTAAAAATTACTTCCTCGGTAGCTAAAAATCCACCATTTCCTTTCAGTTTGGATTTCATGTGATTTATGCTTGTCACAGAAGCACTAATCAAATCAGCAAGAAAAAAAAAAAAAAAAAAAATAATAATAATAATAATAATTATCAGAGATATTAGGAAAATGCTCCTGTAATTTGAAAAAAAAAAAAAAAATATTCATCACAATAATCTTAAGTGGAACCGGACAGTAGTTTGCTAATGAGGTTGGAAATTACATATATTGAAGATGAAGCAGACGCCATAACAATTACTTTCCTGTGACAATCTCCTTTCCTTTTTTTTAGCTCTAAATGTATTGCATGCTTTAGGAATAAATTCATTCTCACTACCAGCAAGAACAACTACAAATCATGAATCTTTCACTAAGGGAGCAAATGCAACCTGCTGCAAGTGCACTAAAAAAAACTCTCTGAACACCTTTTATTGCGATATCCTGCAAAATTCTGCTCTTTGAATGCCCAAAATTTACACATGTTTAACGGTCAGTGAATGAATGTATTGTTAATTACTTTTCACAGCGATGGTAAGGTGAGGTCGGGATTGCCCGCAGTCTGCGGTTTGACCCCAATAATGCCATAAAAGGGGATGCCTTCCTATTGGTCATGGAATGACTGATATGATATTAGCAAATTTTTAAATAAAAAGCTGGATGCAATGTAATGTATCATTAATTTATACATTTTTCACTTCTCCTTTTTGATCAACACTATTTATGTTTCATAACGTAATTTTATACAATAGGAATTCTCAAACTTATAAAAATATATTCTATGGCAGATGCATATGCTTTGTGTAATGTTCTCAGACTTACTGCTAGTATAGGAATTTTTCTCCAAGGTTATGAATTTTGGTACTGTTCTGTTATCAGGACTGGATTCAGAAAGGTATGCATGTACGTATGGATGCATGTGTTCATATATGAATATTTATATCTGAATACAAATGTATGTGTGTGCACATATACACACATAAGCACATACACAGGTACACACATTTCCTGAATCCGGTCCTGATAACAGAACAGCATACTGCCAAAAGTTACCAAACTTGGCGACCATTTGGCAACATTTATGTCCACTCCATGCATAACTAATTGATGCTGTAACTGAATAACTGTAACCATATCAAGCTCTTAAATGTAACTTTAACCGCATATGCCTTCCAGTAATTTTAAGAAACAGAAGGTACAAGGAATTTCTCGGCGGCCGGGTGATAACTATATAAAATTGGAGAGCATATGCTCAGTTGTTAGTTCAAACCTGATTTTGGAGTACTGAGATATTTGTGAGGAATTCACCTTTTAGATGCACTTTGCATTGCATTATGTTTAATATTTGTAGTAGTTTTAATACATGAGAACAGGTTTGAACTCATTGTGCTCTGTAATACTGAGAAGAGCTGCAAGAGCAATTTTGTGGAATGTTCCAGACCTGTGAAATGTTTCTTTTGATAAAATTTTTTTTATTAATGTATCATCAGTTCTGTGTGCATTTAATTCATTACGAACCCCTATGCATGTAACAATATGCTTGATAAATATTTAGCAAATAAAATATAAAATTAAAAAATTGTTTTCATTTTATTTAAAAAAAATCTTTCAGATAGTGTATTTGGCCTGCATACAATTTGAGTCTGAGACCACTGCCCTAAGCAATCAGTATACTTGATACCACATATTAATAATACAAAACAAAATATACTTTTACTTATTTATCACATTTGAGAAAACTTCTAGGTGGCATTGATTAGGGTTAAAACAGCATCCCCTTTTCATTTTTTTGTTTAAAATCAATAATAGTTTATTAGGCCCCCCCTAACATCTAAACAAAAAAGTGCAAAATGCCAAACATTTATAGCTTACCAAAATAAATCTTGCCATTCTGTGCGAGTAACTGCTTCTTGATGCAGAAGCTTAAGTATTATTGGCCTCATAACAGGCCAATGATCATCAAAAGAAAGTTGGTTTTTATCCTAGAAAAAAGTTAATTTCTTAATTAAAAACTGCAAAATTTAATGTGTTTTACATATAGTACAATATTTAGCTCTGATGCTCAAATTTAAACTATTTTGATTTCTTACTTTCTTTAATAATGTAAATGTCATCTGAATGAATGGAAGTTTATGAAAAAAGAGATTACAATAAGTAGTTACACAAATTTAGCTAATAAATACTGTTTAAATAGAGATTTTCAGGAGCACATTAAAAAGAACTTGTGCTACTATAAGAGTTAAGGAGATGTCAAACAAAACTGCTGTTCACATATTTTAATTTTTTGATGGCATAAAAATAATTTTTATTTAATGCCAGTTAACAGATTAGAACTCTCAGCTAAGCCAGTTTTCCTTAGAAAGTCCTTGAAGGCATCCCTTCCCTTAGACAGATAGCCTTTGTTGCTGTACCATAATTAAATAAACCAAACCAATCATTTTTCAGCTTTGGTAACATAAAATTAGGGAAACCCTATAGTATCTAGAATATCTATCAGGCAAAGGATAAAACAACCTCAATATATTTAAATTATTTATGTAGAGGCATCTCTGCTTTTTGATTATTACAACCACAATTCCATACAGTGCATGCCACTTTATGTGATCATGGTTAATATAATCACTGGGATCCAGTTTTCAGTTTGCTGACAAAAACATGGAAAATACACTGCTTAGATCAACTTTTCGTCAATACGATCAAATTATTTTAGAATAGAATTTTTAAAATTGAAGCAAAGTCACCAAACATGTTCAAAATAGATTATAAAAATTGCAAATGACAGAGAAATGTTGCCAAGTAAGGGATTAAGTTGCCAAACAATTTAATTTCAATTTTAGTCAATCGCTTAAAATTACATGAAAAACAACCTTAATCTGATATATATTTTCCAGAACTGTACTGATTTTGGTGGCAATCAGAGGCAGGTCTCTTTCTTCCAGAGCAAAAAAGTTTCTGCAGAATCCTTTTTCTTCTCTGCAGAAAAAAAAATCCTTGGAAAACAACTATGACACATCCAAAATATCTTTTTGCCTAATTTAAAATTTTATATTGGCATTTTCTCTTCCAGTGAGGAATGCTGTCCAAGTATTAAGATTAGGAGTACAATATCAGTCAAGTAATTTTCAGAAATGTTATGAACTTTTGCATTAAAAATATTATGATCAGTTCATAAACAAACTTTTGCATTTTCCTTATTAAAATGCTATGAAAGTATATTTATACATTTTTAATTGCACTTGTACTAAACTGTTTAAATTTCAATCACATTAAGCAGTGCTTACTCTATTTTGATAGCAAAATAGCCACAGCTATTTTGATAACGTTAAACGATGAGGTAAAATATCTTTGAAATTGGCACTGGAATTTAAACAGTTCTACATTAAGCAGTGCCTACTTTACATCTCAAATTGATATATTTTACAAGGTAACCAAAAACGTTCTTGCAGTTTCTGATATGACATTAGAAGAGTGAACCCCAACATAAAAATGTCACCAAACCTGGCGATGAAGTGGTTAGGATGGGAGTCCGGACATTGACCAAGAGTATAAAAGCGCATTGCATTGGTACTTCAAACATAACTCACACAGCGACTGATTGAAATGGACACATCAATGGTGCTCGTTTGGAGACTTTTGGGAATGATGCCGTTAACAAACAAACGCTAGGCAATGGTTTCAGAAATTCAGGTCAGAGGATATGTCTCTTAGTGAAGAACCACGCAGCGGTTGGCCACAAGCACTGCTGGATGATGACCGCCATAGAGAGTGACAGTAGCCAAACATGTGGTGAGCTTGCTGCACACTTCCAGGTATCTGTTGAAACAATCACACTCCATTTGCACCGCATAGGAAAGGCATACAAGCTGAGCAAGTGGGTACCCCACTCACTGTCTGATGCAAACAGCAACAGCATGCTGCTGCCTGTTTCTCATTGTTTACTCCGAATCGCAATGCATCCATATTTGATCAAGTACTAACCAGAGATGAAAAGTGGATCCAGTATGAAACACCCAGGCATTCCAGACATTGGTTGTCACTACGGGACCCTGTGCCTCCCACTGCGAGACCTCTTCATCCATGCAAGATTATGCTCTGTATCTGGTCGACTAGTTGGTGCATTATGAGCTTCTGCCAGTATGCCAAACCATCACCGCAGGCCCGTACTTGCAGCATGTGGAGTGTGTGCATCAGGCACTGATGCATAAAGAGTATTGCTCGTAAGCCAGTATATATCATAAGGATGTACTCCTCCTGAATGACAATGCGAGGTGGCATATGGCTCAAGAGACTAGGGACACCAACCAGCAACTGGGCTGGGAGACACTACCCTCATCCATAATACTCCCCAAACTACCACTTTTTCCATTCCCTGGACAACCATCTTTGTGGGAAATCCTTCAACAATTGGCCAGACCTCAAAGAGATGCTCATGGACTTCTTTGCGTCCAAGACTCCCGAGTTTTACCGCAATGACATTGCACAGCTAGCCACTCATTGGCAAAAGGCACTGGATGCTGATGGTGATTACTTTGAGGATTAGCGGTGATTATTATTTTTTTATGGCTTTTTCTGTCTGACTGTCCAAAACGACAAGAACTTTTTGGTTACTATGTACAATACTTCCACAATTTTTCATGCACTTCCATCACTTCTCCATGAACAAACTACAATAAAAGTCACACTGTAGACTAAATTGTTATGAAGGCCACCGCATTGCTCTATTAGGGAGAACATTCAAGGTCTAGCAGGAGACAACATGCAAAAGATAACTGAATGTAGAGAAAGACAAATGAACAATACTCAATTTAATCCAGGAACACGAACAAATGCACTGGGTACAAAAGACAAGGTTTGTGTTTTTTGAAGGAAAAAACTGTAAATCACCAGGAAAACTGTTACATCTATGCCAATAATAAATTTTATGATCAAACTTCAAATATATGCACATTTAAATTTTTTATTTCTCCAAATGCTTTTATGAAATAAAATTTCTAAAAGGAACAGAAAATCATATTATATATTAGCATGGAGGAAAAATAGTACAATATAAAGTCTCTAATCCGAAATGATTTATAATCTGGACCTCAAAGCCACAAACTTACGCATGCGCGTAAAGCGTTTATGCATGCAGGTTTGATGCGTGCATGCACATACAGCCCATAAAGTGTTTACCCATGCGCGCTTCCGATAGTGAAGAAAGTAAGAGAACATTATTGAAAACTAAAAAATTTCGATTGACAAGTTAGTTGGTATTCTCAACACAGCAATTACAGGACTTGAACAGTGGAACTTCGTAACTGAACAAGAAATTATGTCTGTTTATAGAATTAAAGAGAAAGTATTAGCACAAAAAGCGAAGCAACTTAAACAACTTACATTGATAGAAATGTTTACTAAAATAAACAAATAAATATTAAGCTTTTTCTTTTTTTTTTTTTTTTTTTGTAAATTTCCTTCTTTAGCACTATAGACATAGAGAAAAAAATGCAACAACAAATATTAGCAACACATTGCACAAAGTGTTGTGTGTTCCACATACAAATATTTTTCACATTGGGCATAGTGTGTTTTTTCACCGGGTAAACACTGCATCTTTTTCTTCTCATTTCCGATATTTTTTTTAATAAAGCAATTTATGTCATTCTCACTTTCTTTTTCAAAATCTAAATCAGTTTCTGAGTCAATATATTCAATTAGTACTATGTGAACTAAAAATTCGTGATCACTTCTAACCTTTTCTTCAATACATTTTTCGCCAGTTGATACAATAACAGTAATAACTTTTACAACATTTCCTCCTCTAAGATAAATTATGCAACATGTTTGCCGCTTTCTATACTATCACAAACCAACTATGTAATAGTAATACAAATAGCCATGCTGGGTCTAAAAGACTTGATCCAATCAAAATCAAGACTCCGAATCAAAGCCCCAGCAAAAAAACTTCGGAAATGCAAAGAGGTCAACCTCAAACATGACTATCATGGACCTCAACATAATAAGAACAACAACATGTGAAATAAGCATGCTTTGAAAAAGGTTTGTTTAATTACATGGTTCACTGGAACTAGTCCATGCACTCACAGGTTAACAAAGATTAATGCAATGAAATGTATATACAGTAAAAAGTCCAAGATCTGGACTCGTCAGGACTTCAGCAGTTCCGGATTTAGGACTTTTCCCGATATTATATCATTAGTTTAAATCTAGTAAGGTACCTAAAAATAATAAAAATTAAAAATATGAAATAGTAACTTATGAAATAATGAAGAATTTATAACCTTAAGGGAATCAAAATTTACAAAAAGAAAAGTTCAATATTTATTTGCTTGCTTTAATAAACGTCTCCTTCAACGTATGTTGTGTAACTTGCATCGCTTTTTACACTAATATTTTCTTTTTAATTCTATGGAATTAAAGAGAAATGCACTTTATACTTTCTCTTTAATCTTATAGCTTTGTAAATGTACAGAAAATAGACATAATTTTCTGTTCATTTACAAAGCTTCACTGCTAAAGTCTTCTAACTGCCGCAGCGAGAACTATCACTAAATTGCCGATTAAAAATTTTTCATTATCAACAATCTTTCTATCCCTTTCTTCACCAACAGGAGTGATATACTGGATTTAGAACTATAATGCAGATTTTAAAATCCATTAGTTGACATATCACTGGGACATGGCTATGAAAAACTTCTGTTATATCACCTTCATTTATAACCACTTTAACACAAATACTGTTAACTTGAAAATTTCACTTTTTGTTTGCAATATCTGAAAACCTTCAAATTCATGGCTATCATCATAAAGGTAAGATGTCTGCTATATACTATTAGTGATGTATCATTAAATTCTTGACTAAAGATATGTTGTTTTGCTAGATTTTGCCTAGCTTCTATTGCAAGAATGCAAATAAGCCTGAATACTATAATAAGTAGCTAATATAAGCTACCTATTATACTTATGACATAAAATGATATGCCAATTTTTTTCCATATTTCAATTCTATGACTCAGATTATACCTAATCAAGTTTTGTAAAATTTTGTGCAAAATTTATGGAGAAATTTAAAAATTTATCTTGGACCATTTTTTTCAGGTTGCGCCGAGAATAATTCACTTGGCAAACTACTTAATTTACAGCAACCTTTCTTCATTCCTTTTTTTTTTTCATTGCAGACGAGTGAGAAACAAAGTCATTGTTTATACTTTCAAATCATTTTAACAAAGTGTGTAACCCACATTTGGCGTTATTATTGCTTACATCGTCCGTTCAATGTTCTTGGATGCCATTTTCCTAAAGCTCGTTTTAACAAACCAAAAGTATAAAAATCTGCAAGTGAAGCATCAGGTGATTTTACAAGTCTTTCATTATTGGGATACATTTTATTCCTGCTTCTGATTCGCGTTTTCAAGAATTGCACATACACGGTATCATCCATGTACACATTAACCTATTTTCACTTAAAAAAACATCCCAGAATTGCACAAAAATGGCAATGTGCACACTCTTGACTTTATCCAGGTACACTGCTAAAGTCCTAGCTAATAACCTTTATCGCCTTAGCAAAATGTCGCAAAACTACCTGTTACCATATTCCAAAGATTTTTACCTAAGTCACTAGCTAAAAAATGCAGTACTGGAATTATTACGTGATTTAGAAAAGGAAAAAAAAAAAAAAAAATTATATGATACAAGAATTCACTGGAAGATCAATACGTAAATAGTCAATGATTTTAAGAAGGAACAAAGTGCTAAAAGAATAAATTTATTTGTAAACAAAAATAAAACTAAATATTTACCTTGCTTAACCCTCTAAGCGGCAAGGCCGTATATATATGGCCTAGAATATTTATTGTGATATCTGTAAGAAGGTACATATGCGTGCATATTAAAATACGTCAACGAAATTAAGGCAATATATCAAAAGAAAACAAATCTAGGTATGAAATACCAGGAGGGTTTTTACATTAAAATCAAAAAAATAATTTGTTCTCATAGTAGTTTTGAAAAATTTGTGCTTTCTTAGCAAAAACCCTGGCCGCCCAGAGGGTTAAAGTCTGACGTACAACTTAGTCACTTAAAATTTGGCAATTATAAATTTGAAAAAGTTAAGTTTTACTTATTTGGGATAATAAATAAGATAAATAATAAAAATGTGTTGGCCCCAGAAATGTATAAAAGAATCATTCCTGCAATTAGATGTTTTTATGTCGTGAAGAGTTATTTAAAATTTAGCATTCATTTAAGAACTAAATTGCTTCTTTACAAAAGTTTTAAAAGATCTGTCTTGATTTATGCATGAGAGACTTGGACATTGACTTTGCGTGATGAAAAAGCTCTGGGAAATTTTGAGCGAAAGATCTTACGTTGCATTCGTGGCGAGATCCAAGCGAATATATCATGGAGAAGATCTAATTTAGAACTCTACAAATCTTACAAACAACCTGATATTGTAAAATTCATCAAATTACAGAGACTTTAATGGGCTGGCCATCTGGCTAGAATGAAGGAAGATCATTGCTGCAAGAAAATCTTTTCGACAAAGCCCATGCAAGGGCAAGTCTCCACTAAAATGGACTAATTCTGCTGAAAAAGATCTTAATATTTTAAAGGTTAAAAACTGGAAAACAGTTGCCAAAAATAGTCTGGAGAAGGCCAGGGCCTACACAGGGCTGTCAAGCCATTGAAGAATATTTTAAGAAAATATGATTTCTCTACTATTTTAAATTCTTCAAAATATCATAAATGGGAAAAAACATAATGCATCTAAATTTTACTAAACATTTAACAATCATGTATTCTAAACTACTGTTTTTTTAGCTAATCAAAAAGGGCAAATCACATAGCATTACACTAAGAAATGAATCTTGAACAACATATTTTATCAAATGAAATTTCAAGAAAAAGAAAAAGAGTCAAGTCATACTGTAGAGCTTCTAGAAAGAACAGCATTAATTGAGCCAAAAAATTACATATATTTGGGAAAGAAATTTGAAAAAATTCATCCATATAGAAGTGGTAATAAAACACAAAACACTGTATTCAAAAAAATTAATAGAATGAAATTTTGCTAAGTTGAACAACAAAAGTAAATCATGTAACATTGCTTTCCAAAATTAAATTATGTACTTTATCCAATGAAATTACAACCATTTACACTGAAGCTAAACATTTCAGAATTTAACATCACCAGCAGTTTATCTAGCAAGAAATTCAGCATATAATAAATTCTTTATATACTGTATATGCTATTAGAGTCTACATACACTTAAGTACTTCTGGATGAAGCATACAATGAATAAATTGGAATGGTCTATACATAAACTATCAAGTTTCAAGAACTCTTATAATAGACTCTAGCATTTTAAGTTCCTTATAATATCATGAGGACGAAGAACCATAAATTTTAATTATTCGAATCATACAAAAAATATGCATACATAAATAACAAAAACTTCAACAGAAGACAATGGATAAATAGCATAATAATGTATTGAGAAAATAATCCTAAATTACGCATATTATAATATAAAATTTCAAGTGTTATATCTATGCTTTATACTTAAAATAGAATTTAAAAAGCAATAGAATCTGATCCATAATACCTGCAAAATAAAACTTTAATTTCTGTATCAATATGCACAATCAAGCTTTTACAAGTATGCAATATTTACTGTGCAAATCGCATGCATTATTCAGATGCTCCTTTTATTTGAGCTAAAGGAAAACTCAGAAAGTTATCAGTGCTTAAATTTATAATTAATATACTGCCGCACTTCTTACATTTCGGTAAAATCGCATCTTATAATTAACAGATCTGATTTCGAGATGAAAGTGCCGCCAGCTTACCTTTAATAAAACTGCCATGCTGAATTACATTTACAATGTTGATATCATACGAATATAAATATGATTATTGTACAAGGTGAAAAGTGAGCCAAAATTCTTTCAGAGAAATCTGTATCCGATGTCAAGGCAATGAGTTTTCTCTGCTAAGCTCGTAAAACGCAATGATAGACTACATCACTTCGCTTCACTTCTGACTCAGTTTTTGTTTGCAGTTCTCAGAAATCAAAAGTCATGATTATATTCGGTTCAAGATTGGGCTGAGATTCAGCATTCTCTTGCGGATTTAAAAATTTTTCCTAGCAGTAGAAACTTAGAGATATAATTTAAAAACGTTGCAACGCTAAAAAAATGCAAAATGCGTTAATATTGAGAAAAACATACCATGACCTTTTGGAGCTAAAAAATTCTGACATGGGTTATACTTCTTGATACAATTTTTTTCATCGTATGGAGTGCTAGCGGCATACCTGAATCTACTTTAAAACAGGAAATTAATCCCTGTCGTACTTGCATATATACATCTTGAATTAATTAAGTAACGAAAGTGCTCTGCAAGGTGTACAAATGCTTTCCTGGCCACCGTTTTCTCTTGATCTCTCAGCAATCGACCACATTTGGGATGTGATTGGGCTTCATTTGCCCTGCCATTCAGAAGATGAACTATAGCAAATGGTTGACATGGAATGGAGAGCTATTCTATGTGTTACTTCGTCTAACGCCGTCCAAAGTGGTCCTTCAAAAACTTTAAAACCACCTGAGCCTCGCTGTTTTGGTTCTGTATTACACATATCATTTCGAAATAAAGTTCACTTATTGTTCGTTGCTGTCTCTTTCTGTTTGCCGAGTTTCATCACTTTCTGGCCACTCCTTTTTAGTGTTGAATTTTCAATGTCGTATAGTGTATTGCTATTAAGCTGATTAAACTATTAAGCTGAATCGGGAGTTATAGGAACTGAACTGTAACACTTTTTCAGCCGTATCATAAAAAATTTCATCAAATGAACAAATGTACCAGCGCCGGGGAAACGAAGCTCAGTCACGGAAGCGGACCCGCTCAAATGGAACAACGCCACCGGCCCTCGCATTTTCAGCATTTTGATATTATGACTTCAATTTTTGAAGTTGCGTATTTAATGTACTTGTTTTTAATGTGTATTAATATAAAGAATATCACATTAATAGAAATAAATTAAACAGGCAAAATACTAAAATCATAACTATACAAACAGAAATAAATATTATAAACATGAAAAAAAAATTTACAAATGCGGAATTAAAAAAAACTAAACAAGAAATACTTGTAGCTATTTAAATTCCAATTTAAAAATTCTGCTGTGTGGGAAATAATTCAAAACAAGGATCGACACACAGTCCTACATTGCGTATTTCGCACTCAAAATACGTTATTTGCTTTCCCTTTTCCTTGGTCTTAGCGCACAAAACGCATCTTCTCCTACCTTTTCCGTCAACGTAAAATTTAACCCCAACACATGTCCCAAAACTTCTTCAAAAGACACTCAGAAATATTTCATCCTCAAACCCTGTGTGAAATCAGGTTTATATTAGAAAACTTCCTGTTTTTTCTAAATCGAAAACAGCGTCTACGATGACCAGAAAGTGATCAAGGAAAGACACCTCACTAGCGGAATAACCGTTACTGATCAAGCCAATATATACATTATATATAATTACATTATATGTAAAGTAAATACATTATATACCAAAATATAATGCCTTTCCCATTATATATGATTACCATTCAAGGCATTATATATAATGACCTATTAAATTAAGAAAAACAAAAAAACGCTGGTTCTGTCCAGAGAAATGCAAGTAAGACGCATTACGTGTCGAAAAGGCTGATAGTCTTTCCCCTTCTGTAATAATGTTACTTTTAATTAACCAAGAAAGCTTATGTTCAGTTTCAAAATAAAGTGATCAAGGAAAGACACCCCACTAGCGGAATAACCGTTACTGATCAAGCCAATATATACATTATATATAATTACATTATATGTAAAGTAAATACATTATATACCAAAATATAATGCCTTTCCCATTATATATGATGACCATTCAAGGCATTATATATAATGACCTATTAAATTAAGAAAAACAAAATACGCTGGTTCTGTCCAGAGAAATGCAAGTAAGACGCATTACGTGTCGAAAAGGCTGCTAGTCTTTCCCCTTCTGTAATAATGTTACTTTTAATTAACCAAGAAAGCTTATGTTCAGTTTCAAAATAAATAGGAAAACAAAAAAGAAAAAAATCCTAATTAAATAAACAAAAACGTCTGTGCCCCTTTAATTCAGAGGCGCACTTAAAAAGAGCCGTGATTTCCAGTTTGTTTATTTCAATAAATCTCCGAAAACCAGAAGCACAAAACAGAAACTAATGCCAGTGGTAAGACCCACGTAACGCTAGAGGGCGCTAGAGCGCCTTTGAGTGTGTTCAGATAGTTGATGGAAGGTGTGACGCAGTGTTGATGCGAGATTTCTGAGATTGTAATATTATTCTATTTAATTAAATCAATTTATATTTCATTGATTACCTTATTTGAAGTTTTATGTAATACTATGGACCACCTTATATTAGAAACTTGGATTACCATTGAATCTTCAAACCACTGATGCGCATTTGGTGCATCTCGGTCGAAAACCAGGTAAGAGAATCTTTATTTTGTAGAGTTCCTCATTTTGTAATTCTAAGTTAATGTTGGAAGTGAAGAATCTTAAGAACTGATAAGCGAATAATCGCTTAAGTTCGGTGACAAAAAACAAGATAGAAGGGTAACTAACCTTTTATTATTCCAATAAGATTTAACAAGAACTCCGTCTTGGAGAGTACAATCAAAGCGAATCGATATTTGGACTTGAACTTAAGAGACTAAGAAATTAAACTAAAACTAGGATTAACTAAAGAAATATAGCCAAAGCTATCCATGATTCTAATCGAGTTGGCCCCTTAACTCTATTTGACTACGTAGCTTATCACGGGCCTGAGTACGGCCGAGCGTAATATCAGCTTTGAGAGAGAGAAAGTAGCCAAAACAGGCAGTCGCGCGCAAATCAGAAACTCTCTGGATTCTCTCTCAACTCTGTAAGCAGACTTCACGGTTTAAATACCGCTCCTCCTCATTAAATATTCAGCAAGATTCCAAAACTATGTTCTGGTTGGAAGTAGTAAGTTAATGTTAAGAATTTGACAGGAAAGGAACTTAAAATTTAACTGTTAATAAAATTAACATAATCTTTACAAATGAATTATTGAAACTGAATTATACCTGGATAGAAATTAAATATGGCTGAAAAACCTGTCAAAGTTGATGAAAAACGCGATGCTGTGCGTTCGATGTTGACGAAATTAATTAACAAAATAGAATTTGCTATCAACAACGAAAACGGAACAGTCGATCAGTTCGAAGCACTTTTTGGAACAATTAATCGGAAAAGAAACTGACCTAAATTCTTTAAATAATGAAATTAAAAATCTTTTGAGCGTCGAGTGTGGAAAAATCCCCCAAATGATTTATGTATCGCCGTTAGAGGGCGCTTCGCTTCGGAAAAAGAATGTTAGTTTTTAGTTTGCGGCGTAGTTAGTTAGCAGTGAACCTTCGATGCAACCAAAGTTGCTTTGTAAATAGAATGATTATTTTTGTAGATTGTTGAAGTATTTCACTTAATTTAGAATTAGAACCACCTTTCGCAATATGGTGCATCGGTGCCGAGAACCTTTGGCCAATTTAGAAGTTTGTGTTTTTTAATTTTGGATATCATTTTATGCGAAGACAGCCAAGGTAAGCCTGTATTTTCTATTTTTATATAATATGGAAGATCTTATTGCTAAACTGAAATCGAAACGAAAGTTATTGAGGACCGGAGTGTCCAAGATATTAAAGAAAATTGAAACCGAACTGAATAAAGATGATAGTAGTATAAATGTAAATGTATTGGAAGAAATTTTAGACCAGTTAAACGAAAAATAAAAATCCTTGAGCATTTTAGACGCTGAAATAGAACGAGAATTAAAAGTCAAAGAAGACGAATTTGAACTTGAAATCTCATCCGCTTTGGAATATGAAGAGAAAATTCAAGTGTGGCAGTTTAGAGGAAAGAAAAAGTTGAAAGAGTTGAAAAATTCGGACAATGCAAATAGAGACATTTCTAATGAAACCGTTACAGAATCCCAAAACGAAAGTAACAAATTCACTCGTCTTCCAAAATTAACGATCTCTAAATTTTATGGTGATTCTTCGGATTGGTTAGAATTCATAGGTCAGTTCGAAAATGCGATTGATAAAAATCCGAATTTATCAAAAATAGAAAAATTAATTTACTTAAAAAGCTTTCTTGGTGGCTCAGCCGCCAAAGCTATTTCTGGTTTCGCTCTCCTCGAAAATAATTACGAAGCTGCTCTTGAACTGTTACGTTCCAGATTGGTCAAAAGAACATCTTAATTAATTCGTATTTAGGACAAACTCTTAAGTACTTCACCTGTTAGAAATCCTAATGATATAAAAACGGATTAAGAAAACTTCTAGATCACGCCGAAGTACAGATAAGAAATCTTGAAGCATTAAAATAGACTCTGATACCTACGGAAATCTCTTAACGCCTTTAATTTTGAAATTACTTCCTAATAAATTCGTTCTTGATTATAGCCGAAAATTAAAGACGAAAATTGGGATTTAAAAGGTTTGTTAGCCTTTTTGAGGAACGAAGTATTCAGTAGAGAAACGCGCGGCTTCTGTTAATTATAATTCTAGAGAAAAATATTCGCGATTGGAAAAGCATTTGCCCTTCAAACATAAACATTCTCCAGCCATAACGAGCAAGCCGTCTACAGTTGAGTTATTAGCGGCGTCATCCGAATCGCAGTGTCTGTTCTGCGGGAACACAAATCATAAATCTGCGGATTGCGAATTTTAAGTGTAGAAAAGAAAAAAGAGATCTTAAAAAGTGAATCGCGGTGTTTTTTATGTTTGGGTCGATTTCACCGGATTCGAAATTGTAAACAAAAAATAAACTGTGCCTTCTGCTTTAATAAACACTCGAAAGCCATTTGTTATTCATTCCATCGGAAAAAAGATAATGAAAAACCTGAAAAGAAAACGTCGGATTCGAGCGTTATTTCCGCTGTTTCGTCATATAATTCCGATG